AAGAGAAACAATAACCTTAAGCTGAAATAGTCATAAGACCTCCAGTATCTGGAGAGTCACAAGCTGTTAAGTTTGTTGTTTTTTTTGTATTGGTATTGATGAATACACTTAAAAACTTGTCTATGCATGCCTATAGTAGTAGGCAATGTTCCACTCATTGTGCCAGACAAGAAGCTGCACTTTGGCTTTAGTGAATATACTGTATTGTGTGCCACGTCACCTTAGAACTGTACATTCAGCTGATGTTTAGAGAGTCAGTTTTTTTTACATTGTGTCCAGATTTGGAGAGAAGTCTGTTAGTGATTAGTGTGAAGTCAAGTATTGTAGAAACCACATTTAAACAGTGTAATATTTTTCTGACATTGGTTACTAAAATGACAGTTAAAACTAGTCTATTGTTTACCAATTTTATTATGTAGAATTTTCTAGAACATGGTTGTTTGACACTTTTTTGATTAAAAAAGTGAAAGAAAACTCGTCTTTTCAAGCAGATAGCTGTAGGACAAAAGCCTGACCTCTCAAACAATGATCAGAGCCGTAGTAGAACTTACTGTCTCTGAAGGAGATTTTATGTATTGTTTTGTCAAGTTACCCATAGAAAGTCATGCTGTGTTTGACTTGATTTAACGTATACTGTTATAGAAAACAGAAATTTCCTACTTGTCAACTCTTTCAAGTGTTGTTTTGAATACTGTTAAGAAAATAAATTTAGAATATGCTAGTTGATTGAAATAGACTAATTATAGTTTTCAGATAAATAACTTATTCTACCCTATTGATCTTTATTTTATCTGTAGTTACAGCAGATTGTTTGCTAAGATCTTTTTGAACTGTCCTTTGTCTGTGTGGGAAAACAATCAGGAGAAGTTCCAGCTTTTACACTGATCTGTGAAAAGCCGTAAAACAGCAGGAGTCCAGGCCAGTAGAGGAGAGTCTCTGCTTCCACTTTGTTTAAACAAAGGGGACAAATGGCCTTTGATCTTGGAAACAAATTGCAGGGAGTTTCTAACTTTAAAAAAGGGTCAGAGACAGCTCCTGGTTGGATGAGCAAAGATACGCCTTATTTGAATAAATTAAAAGACAAGAATACGCCTTTACTATAAAACTTTCTACACAACAGTAACAAATTAGATTTGCTCTTGCAATTCTCCAAAGACGTCTTTGCTTTTCTTTCTTTCTTCTTCTTTTCCATTTGTCTCAGGTAAATGAATGTATGTCTCTGTTGTTCTGCAGTTTCTGTTGTAATTTCATACGTTGTCTTCTATTGGATTAAACTCTGAAATTCTGTGACGTCTACACTCATTGTTGTTTTCTGTGTGGTTTCACTCCGGCCCGCCGGAAGAACCTGGGATCTGTGAGAAGAAGATAGAGCCAGAGATTTTCCAGAATTTATTATAACCTAAAATCTTCTTCAACAATACAGATGCCGATGGTCTGGAAAAGTGAGCTTTTACTGATTGTATGTAGTTAGCTGTTACAGTTGTATGAGATGTGAGACTTTTCTTTTACAAGCAGAATTTAGATTTAATTTGATACAATAGGAGTAAAAATGTATTTGCTTACTATGCTGTGGTCTCTTTACACACAGTCATCATGATATACAACAAAGATTTTCCGATATTATTTGCAGTAGATGACACATTTTTTCCACCAGTTGTGTATGGAGAAACCACAGGCAAACTGTCTGAGTAGTTCATGCAAGGCCAGAACCCTACGCTTTTCCTCGTCTCTTTTAAATCGGAGACAGTGTGCTTCAGGATGTCCAGAGTGTACTTTCATGGGAGCTTGCATGCTTGAATGCATTCATTTGGCCTTTATGTTTATGGAAGACTAAAGGGTGTGATTCTATAAGTTCAGGGAAATGTCAAAGGGGTTGCTAGTGATGTTATCTGTGCTTTTTTTTCTTTCTCTTCTTTGCTACTGGGAAATGTCTTGGTGACATGATGAGTATTTCATAAATATAGTTTATGAAATACTCATAAACAGCATGTCACTGTAATCTGTTTTTAGTTTCCAGTGTCTTTGCTGAAGGAGAACCTCTCATTGTTTGGCTCTTTGTGAATGTTTAAAATTCAAACTATTTGTTCAAAATAATCAGATGAAAATGTAGCTTTGTTGCTTCAACATGAAAAATATTTTCACAGATTATTTTTTTTTTCTCAGACTTGGCCTTGAGACAAGACATGCGGCAAAGAAAAAAGAAAAAAAAAGACTTATGTCCAAGAAAAACATCAATGAGTGACTGAATGACTTTTGTTGCAATGTGGGATATTTTGAAAATTATATTTTTGGAGAGGATAACGTTAACTCTACTAAGTGTTGAGCCAACAGCAACACATTCTGCTATTGTCCATGTGTGGGTTTGATGCTTATCCAAGGTAGTCGTTTTACTCATAATTCTAAGAAATAACTCCTTGACCAGAGTTAAATAATGTCCACCGAGAGTAACTTATTTAAAAAGTCCAGAAACATTTGACAATTATCTTTTTTTATTTTTATGTAAATTGAAACTGTAGGCGTTAAAGAAACATTGATCACAATGTCCTGAGATTTAAACTACTTCCAGGACACTTTTTAGATCTTAACGTAATTGAGAATCCGTGATCACCTTCTAAGAAGTAAATGTAGCAACAGAAGCAAGTACTGTGATAGACAGTAAGCACTAATAAGTCAAAAAAAGTATTATCATCAATAAGGAATTGCTCAAGGATTTAACAGTGAGCATGTGACTACACAGTGCAGTAGCAACATAAAGGAAGGCTGAACCTTAATAGTTATTCTTTAAATAAAAGTGATGTGTTAGTTGATTTTATTCCCTTTAGCATACATTAGAAACATTTGACCAGGGGTGCAGATTTAACTGTTAGGGGGTGTAGATTTAAATGTTACAGCTCCTGCTGTTTTACACAGATGTAGGAAAATGTGTTTCCTAAGGGACATAACCTCCTTGGCAGTGCTTTGCTCAAGACTTTCTTCACGCTTAGAATTGGAACAGGGAATGCATGTTGCTCACAATAGGTTACATTTTATTCCGGGTGGTAAAACCAATGGTCTTCTGAACTGCCTTTTTTAGGATAATGTATTGTAATACTAGGACAGAAAGTAACAATTATCATCTTGTGCCTAACCATACATTAGGCACAAGGTGATCAGGCATAACATTGTAACTAAAGACAGGTGAAGTGAATAACAGATTATCTCTTCATTACACTGTCTGCTAAGGAGGGGGCTATATCATGCTGCAAGTGAACAGTTTGTTCTTAAAGTTAATGTGTTTGAAGGAGGAAGAAAATATTCAAGTGTAAAGATTTTAGAGTTCCACAAATCTTTACACTTTTCGTATCGGGATGGACTGGATTACAGAATCTCTATAAGTGAAGTTCTTCCTGTTTTGCAGTGTTACCTACAGTACCTATTGGAAGTGGTTGAAGAAAGAAACCGAGGACAAGGCTCTTTTGTTGCAAGTGGGCAATGAAGTTTGAACTATGTCTTCTGATCCAACTGCTGGTGTAGTTTAGCTCTAATTTGGAAGAAGTTGAACAGATTCTGATAGAAAAGGTTTTTAAACCCTGGCAAATCACATTTTGATATGTTTTGTGCTACACATCTTCAAACCAGTCAGGGTGTCTATGCTGACCCCTTTCAACTGCTGGAAGTACCAGCTGTGAACACATGACTATTAGAATTGGGCCATGGACTTATAAAAATCAGGATAATGTTCTCATCCTGAACGCAAATGATCACAGCAACAAGTTTGAGGTGTTTACTCGGCCTCCAAAACTCACTAGGTCTCAATTACACCAAACATCTATGGACTATGCAGGATAATAAAGTCCAATCTAAAGAGGTTCAACCTCACAACTTGCAAAAAAATTCTGCCACTAACTTCATGGTGCCATATAATGCATCATACATTCAGGGTTCTAGAAAAGTCCATTCCTTGAAGGGTTAACACGGGTGTGGCATCAGAAGAGAACCAGCACACTATCAGCCAGGTGGTCATATTGTAATGCCTCATCAGTGTAAAATGCATTATTATAGTTTGTTGGGTTAAGGCAGTGAGATGAGGGTTGTACTTGCTCTTTAGCTATGATGAGGCTCAAAATGTAATTTCAATTAGACCTGTTAAAGCCTTTTAAAAGACAGGGGAATTCTCCTTCAGACTTGTTTCATAACCAGTTTAATGTCCCATTGACTCATAAATGATTTACAAGTGGTTGATGTAATATGCTGTCTATTAAATAAAGGTCAGATTTGCTTTTCATTTTCAAGTAGTCTTATAAAACTGTTTTACTGGGCCAATAAGTTTTGCCCTCTCTGAAGATTAGCTAATGTTTAGCAGACTTCTACTGTCTGCCAATAGCAAATTAGTTTTCTCCCTCCGTGTAGTAATAACATCTGACGAACAAGATGTAGAGATGTTGAAAATTTTCTCACCTTGTCTCCTCAAACAAACAGAGCCTATATGATTCAAGGTTTGGAGGTTATTCAAAAAAAACTCTTCCTCTTTCTAGTGTTACATTAGACTACTGGTGAAAATGTGTGTTTGGTTAACCCTTCCTTAAACCTCAAACTTCAGCACTCGAGGCAACTGGGAATGTCCCTGAGGTTTCTGGGAACCTCTCTATCCCAAGAGGAAATAGATAATTGAGTCTGTTTGAAAATATGCCACTGTTTTTAAATGAAATTAAAATTACAACAGTCATTCCTAAATCAAGGAATAGGTTCAGACTGCTACACCAAATGGTCAAAAGTATGTTGACATAGGTTTGAGGTTTGCAAGGGACATGCTTCACAGGATAGCAGAGGGAATCTCAATACTTATATTTAAGCTTAGGAAAATAAATGTTTGCGGATATGTTTTAACTCCAGCCATTTTTTTTTTTTTTTTTACAACTTTATATGTTGTAGTTTCCCTGTGTAGGGACATATCCCTTCATCCCTATAATTTAGCACCCAAAAAATTTGATGAATTTTAACCAAAGTTGTGTCCATTTCAGAAAAGCTGGTGGTCTTAACTGTGGCAACTAAGGAAACAGATGGCTTCCAGCGCTTTATGCAGACCGCCAGTTATTTCAACTACACTGTGAAGGTAAGAGTATTTCATTTACTAAATCCATGCCCAAACATTCGTATTGTTTGTAATTATACAGAACTAACACACACTCAGCAGGAAAATGCTTTCCACACACAGTTGCCAGAATCAATTGAGCCTGTTAAAGGAAACAAAGATGTGCAGCAAGCTGCGAAAAACTTCCATCCCAAAGGGAAACTCCATGATGTAGCTCCATAATTGACTTTTGTGGTTAAAAGAAACCATTTTGTTTGTTCTTAGCTTGGAGGCTGGTGGGGACATGCATGCACTGCTAACCTCATGCGCCCCTATATGCAGTACTTTTACAGTAATTTGATTCTAAAACTACTGTAAAAGTACAGAAGTCAAATCTTCAGTAATCAGGTTACAGAACCAGAGAAGATAAGTATATTGGTGTCTTAATTTTGTTGTCATTTTCAGTAAATTACATTATTTTTTGAAATCTTAATTTTTTCTATAACTCACTTCACCCTTAATTGTGATTAAATGATAATTGTTTAACACTTAAAATTAGAATTTCATCAAACATATAAATAAAAAGACACATAAGTGTGAGCTTAATGAAAAGTATGATTAATATTCATTTAAAAGTTATTATGTTGAAAAGCTACTTTTAATATTTCTCTATCAAGTTACTTAAGACTTTGGTCCATAACCAGTATAAATTTTACAGAAGGTTATGAAATTCTACCTCCTGTCTTCATTTTTCATGTTAATTGTCATCATCTTTTTTTGTAAATAACTCCCGATTTCAAACATTAACTAAAAGACAGATGTTTGAGGTAAAATAGTTAAAATTGTGGAGGTTGAAATGGTGCAAAAACCTAGTTGCTTTGTTTTACATATCTTAGACTTATACTTCTCCACATTTTCACCCAGAATCATTATTCAGTCTTCTTCCGTAGGTGTTTCATTTATTAACTCAGCACTATTTGTCCACTGTTATATAAAGATTCTCCAAATCTGTCAGATTCTGATCACATCTCTCGTCCCTAGCCCTCTCCAGGGGATTCTTTCACAGATCATCTCTCAGATTTAGTTCTGCTTCTGATGACAGAAGTGCATACAATAATATTGGAATTTAATCAAAATGTAGATTGGGGGTGTAATCTACATATTCATATTTTTGCTCTTAGAGTTTTTTTTTTTTCAGTTGAATTAGACGTGTTGTTCTGCAAGGTCTAATTTTTTTTAACATCACAGAAACATGGTAATTCAAGAGGTGTGGGTAGACTTTTTATATCCACTTTTCATCAGCAAAAAAAAACCACATGAAATAAATCTCCCCATTAAAAAATGTACATGGATATTTTTGTTTTTTGGTAGCATTTATAAATAGGAATTAGTGAAATGTTCCTTCCAGCTCTTATGACTTAGAAACATGGGGCCGACTCCTTCAGAGGTTTTCCAATTAGGAGACTTATGGTTGCTTAGATGTAGATGTAAATGGACATTTTCACAGCCAAACTTTTATGTGTTCAGCCAGTTCACAGTTTGGACATTTTGTCTGTCTTTTGTCTGCATCAGGTCTTGGGAATGGGAGAGATGTGGAAAGGCGGTGATGTTGGTCGTTCTATTGGTGGAGGGCAAAAAGTCAGACTACTGAAGGAGGCCATGGAGAGTCTGGCTGCTCAGGAAGATCTTGTCGTTTTGTTTGTGGATAGGTATGTTATGAGCCAAAACTAATGTAAAAGTATCTATATTTTGCATCAGCCATTTTATTGCAACATATGACATACTTGGCTTTGAGTTTGTTTTGTTACTTTACAAACGTTAGTTTCATTTACCTTTCATTTGATCTACATTTAACTTCCAACCAAAAAAGGGAGCCAAAGCACTTTTTGCAGCATGGTGCAAATGCTAACCACCATGTGCTGTAATAACAGATTTGAAAGCCAGAACTTCTTAGTGAAAGGGGTTTTTGTTGAAGCAAAAACACCAATCAAACATTCAGAAACAGGCATTATTATACGTGAGGAGAACAATTCTCAAGTACAGGTAGCTGAACTGTAAACTTTTAAGACTGATGGAAAGTACTTCCGTGGGTAAAGTGAGGTGATTAAAAATAAATATTTTGCACAAGTCTTTATCTTTAAATGGAGCAAGAAATAATATTTACATTGACGTCTTAAATGTATAATTTTAGTCATAATTGCAGTTCATAGCACCTTGAAGCAGGTTGTTAGAGAGTAATTTTCTCTCTTTTAAAAGAAGCAGTTGTGGTAATAAACCACTTGGAAATGTCAGAGGATTACAAGTAATTCAGTGTGTTTTATATTTGAAATCCTCCTGGCCCACCAGGAGTGTGTGGGCAGGTACTGATTCGGCCTTACGTCTTGTTTTACGATTCAGTCACCTATAAAGTTAAGTATGAATTAATTTAGCAGTTTTTCATTGTAAAGAAATGCGCTTCAGAACATGCACAGTTTCTGAAATGAATAGAAAAGACTACAAACACTTGTCAAGCAGCATAATTTCAGACTAAAACCTATTACTGAATGTCTTTTGCATTACTATGCCTTGCAAAATTATTAATTCCCTATAACTTTTTTACATTTTGTATAGTTACAACCTCAAACTTTAACGTTGCATCGGTACTGTCAGAGATAGAAAAGCACAACATCTTTTATGTTTGGGAAGTGGAAGGAAAATGATACATGGTTATACAATTATTTATCATATAAAAATCGTGGCATGAAATTCGTTTAGGCAGATAACGCACTGCCCCTCTGCCATGATAAATAGAGCTCCATGTTTTGCATTGCTGCTCCCCTTGCTGCTGGCTAACTCATCAAACACTTAATTCAGTGTTAAAATTGTTTAACATATCCTTCTCAATCATATGATATTATTTGGTCTTTTTAGTTCCATTACACTACACTACAATACATTACAGACAGCCTGAAAAGCAATACAATAAAATAGTTATAAATGGAAATCTGAGATTCCCAAGCTGGATTTGTCTTGAATTTATTTCCGTGTAATTCTCAGACACAATCTTGAATGGTTTTATGGAGAGCAGGCCTATGTTAACGGGATAAGTACGCGATTTATGATTTAACAAGTCGCAAGGGATCTTTATATGAACATGTGTCTGCCAGATGCCAGCAAAACTTTTCAACTTCCTCGCCTATGTCAGGCTTCCTCTCGTGGCTCAACCTTTACTTTTCCTGCCATCTTCTATAAATGGGCCATATACTGCACTATTTTTAGATCCACATACAAGCTGCATATGCTCTCAAGCTTTCAAACCCGTGCTGTCACACGAGCAGAATAAAAGCTCCCATTAATTGAAGAAGCTAAAGAGTCAATGTCTCTTGTGAAATTATCATGATTTAGCTCTAAAGACCAACTGCACCCTCGCCAAACTAACAAAAGCACCAAATAAATTAAATTAGTGATACTTTAAGATCAGATGATTATGTTGTTTTGTGTGTGTTAATGTCTGGAAAAATAAACCCCATTTGGAACCATGGCACTGCACAGGCTCTCAGAAAATTCAGTCTTGCCAAACACAAAGGCTGTGCTTTGCTTACATTCAGATTCCTATTAGTCCAGGGCAAATGAAAGCCTATGCTATGTGTCAAACTGAGTGAAATATGTTGAAGACAAAACTGCTCCTCCAGGATAAATAAAAGGCTAACGATCTGTTATGTTTTATCTTCTTTCCTCCCCCCTAAGTTATGACCTTATCTTCGCTGGGGGACCAGAGGAGATTCTCAAGAAGTTCCAACAAGCCAATCACAAAGTGCTGTTTGCTGCAGAGGGAGTGATATGGCCAGATAAGAGGCTCGCTGACAAGTACCCTTTAGTCCGAAGTGGCAAGCGCTACCTAAACTCTGGAGGTGATTTCCAAAAGTTCAGTTTGTCTTTCAGGGCTGAAGTGTTTTGATTGCTGCTGGAAGCCTGATCATTGCTGTTCACACTGTAAAACTCACCCACAGAAATCGTACAAACTAATGTTGCATGTGAAATATATTCATTGACTTGCACAAAAGTGAGACAACCACATTTCTCAAACTTCTATTTTTTTTGTCAAATTTTAGCAGATGTTCTGTAAAAATGTGTAATATCAGTAAGAGTTGTCAATCAAATATGTATCACGAATCATGCATTAAATTCTGTCTACCAGACATTTTTAACACATAAATAGCTTTTCATAACATGTACCACATGAAATAAAGATTTTTTTGTTTTTATGCGCCACTGAGATAACAGATTTTTGCTCAAATGGAAACTTGATGATGCATGCATTTTCATATAGGGCTAGGTTTGTCTGGACACATCAAATCAACATTTGACATTTGTTTTAAGTTTCTGCTGAGGCGTTTTTGTATGGTTTTAGCATTGGTTTGAAGATGTGGTGCAAAAATGCTAATGAAACCTGTAAGGAGGCAAACAGTGTCTCAGCACTTTACCTGAAGGCATGATCTAGAAGAGTGCAACAAACACTGGGATCACTACTTGTTTATGTAGCTATTTAAGCTGTCCGTCTCAGCTTATGACAGTCTTTTACACACTAATATAGATGTATTTCTATAGTATAAGTACAGGGATTCCACACAGAGCTTTAAATATGTGGGTTTCCATCTGTATTATGTCTTTAGGGTACAATAACTCCTAAACCACCTCCTATATGATACATGTGTTTAACCGCATTTTACACTATGTCTAACATTTGCAGAAGATTTTATTGCAGCATACTCTATGCATGCGTAGAAAGTTGAAGTAATGCTGGATTACACAGGTTGAAAACACTTATTCACCCCTGTTCTCTGGGTGTAACACATTCCACCATTAGCTGTTGAACTCTGAGGACTTGCAGGCCTCTTTCTGGAATTCAGTGGGCTAATCACAGTTTTCTAGTATTTGGTGCAGAGTGTTGCAGCACCAAAAAAGAATAGCAATAAGCATGTGTTAGTTTTAAAATAGAAAACCCCAGGATCCTTATTGCTAATTCCTGGTGTAAAATTTGAGTATATTTTCCAAGTAAACTTGGATTGTAAAGTATTTCCTGTCTATGGTGAGCAGAATGTGGGAGGAGGAAATTTCCCCAAAGTTTAACCTTATGCTTAGACATCTTTTTTTAGCTGTTATCCTCCCAGTGGTCGATTAGACGTAATTACGGTTACATGTCGGGGTGTTTTCTAAAAGTAAATGCAAATGGTGCATCTTGCAGACTTAAAAATTCTACATAGGTAGAACATTTTGCAACAAAGCAAAAGCTTATTTGTGGCCAACCTAAACCCCATCGTTTCCAATTCTCTGGAGCATTGGACTGCTTCTTTCCCTGTGGTCATCAATTTGGTGCGACCTCCCATAGTGGAGCCTTGCTGTCTCAGACTGATCAGAGAGTGCTTTTTGCGTTCATTGTCATTGACTTGACATGTGGATTTGTCTTGGGCCCCTGAGTGTGCCACAGTTTGCATGAAATTGCAGGTTTTGTTTGTGTTCCTCCGGCTACCGCCCAAGTGACCAGTGAGGAAAGTTTTTTAGCATTTGGACGTGCACAGTTGTGTCACAGAGAGTGTAGTGCTCTGGGGATGGAAGAGTTTAGATCGAGAGATTCCGTATTGGTGTTAGTCTGTGAATATTTAAACAGAGGAACAAGAAGGTCACTTCAGGTCACTTTTATTTTGCTCCTCAATATAAAACAAAGTTTTGTCAGACAAAATGTTTTCCAGTGCCAAGTCTCAATTTTACATACTGTTCTTCCAATTTTTTACATCACAGATTCCACACTAGTTAAACTCATCCTGCCAGCATGAAGATTAAGTTGCAAAGCTCAGTTAATCTCATACTGTTCTTCTTGTGCAGCGCAATAAGTTCACTGTTCTCCGATGACCTTGATTGGATCACAGTTTGGTCTAGCACTTTTAGGATTTGCTGGAAATGCTCAGGAAGGTTGCAAACTGCAGACATGTACACCACACTACTTGGCACATTCCACTACAACATTTCTTGTAATTAGTTTCAGACAACATTAGAGCACTGACAGATCAGGATTTGAGTGGCTTGAGCTGCTTTAATGCAAAGTATTATCAAGGCATAACAAAAAGCCTTAATAAGCATCCCAAAAACTGTGATATTGTCTGGGGATTCCAGGATAAAGCTAATTAAAGATGGAAAATTTGTATTGGGGTAAATTCAGCATAATAATCTATTACCGTGTTCATTTCAATCCAGAAGTTTCATGCTGCATTGTTCATGTCTTTTTAGTATTTTGCAGAGGGAATATTTTAGAGGGATCAGAGAATCATTGTGTCTTTTTCGGATAGGAAGACTAAGGCAGACTGTTCACTGCACTTTCCCAGGATCTGCAAAATGAACCACACACCAACAATATAATCTGCATAAAATTGATGATTTTGCTTTGAACTTTCTTCCCTCGTTCCTACCATTTATAATATGTCATGTCTGTCCATTGACTTGTTTACAGTGTCTGAGGTTTTTCCCCAATGATGGGATATAAAACGACACACACCAGCAACATAGCTAAACCCTGCAATCTGTTACTGTGGTTGCTGTCCGTGAGCGACAGAGTGAGAGAAGAAAAAGGAGCTCAAGTTAGAGAGGAGTATACCATGAGAATGTACATTTAGAGTTTAAGTGTGTGATGTAAGATGGTCACAACACATAGATTGCAGCTTTTTACAAACCGCTTTTACTTTCTGTGGAAAAGAAAACGTCCCTGCCCTGTGTTTATGTGTGCCTCAGATAATTGCCAAAAATCACACTTTGTTTAAGGCGTCATGGCTTCCTCGGATGAAGTTGGAGGCTGTTAAGCCAGCCAGCCACCCAGCAGCCTGCCAGTTGTGTAAACATCTCTCACCATATCATTTACACGCTGGTATGCATTTCACACTGTTCATTTATTTGCAGGTATTATTGGCTATGCCCCGTACGTAAACAGACTAGTTTCACAGTGGGATCTCCACGACAATGATGATGACCAGCTCTTTTACACAAAGATTTACCTGGATCCATTGAAACGAGTAAGTCGTTGTTTTTTGTTTGTTTTGCTTTTGTATTGGCATTTTTCAAAAGAAATGTTTTGGACACCTAGTACATTTTTATGTTCACATCTTACAGGAATTTCTGAACATGACTCTGGACCACAAGTGCCAGATTTTCCAGAATCTGAACGGGGCTGTCGGTAAGTAATTATTAGTATTTACTGAGCTGTTGAGAAGACTTAGTTCTTGGCGAACTAACGTCATGTTGACATCATGTGGCAGATTTTAGGTTTTCAAAATCTGACCTTGAAATCTGGTGGTCTTTATGTTTTTTGGCAGATGAGGTGCTTCTTAAGTTTGGAACCGACAGAGTACGAGTGAGAAACACAGCGTACAATTCTTTACCTGTTGTCGTCCACGGAAATGGAAACACTAAAGTGAGTATGAAGCTCTGCCCTTTGGTACAAGTGGGAATGGGCTTGCAAAGAATTCTCATGAATGGCAATCTCTTTAAGAATATTTTAGTTTCCAAGCAATGGCTGCACAGTGGCGCAGTTGGTAGAGCTGTTGCCTTGCAGCAAGAAGGTTCTGCGTTCGATTCCCGGCCCGGGTCCTTCTGCATAGAGTTTGCATGTTCTCCCTGTGCATGCGTGGGTTTCCTCCGGGCACTCTGGTTTCCTCCCACAGTCCAAAAACGTGACTGTCAGGTTAATTGGCCTCTCCAAATTGCCCCTAGGTGTGAGTGTGTGTGTGCATGGTTGTTTGTCCTGTGTGTCTCTGTGTTGCCCTGCGACAGACTGCCAACCTGTCCAGGGTGTACCCCACCTCTCGCCCTGAACATTAGCTGGAGATAGGCACCAGCAACCCTCCCGACACAAGGGTGTAAAGAAAATTTGTGGATGAATGGATGGATAGTTTCCAAGCAACCCCAAAAATTATGCTAAATGTCTATCATTATCTAACTTTTTTTCTTTAACAGTCATATAAAAAAAGCAACAGTTATTTCTACTGCTACTCAGATAATCTATCACATTATTATTTTTAGTTATAAAAATAACATTTAACATGCATTGTTTTGTTTTTTTTCTTGTTAACTATTTGCTAAATCAAACATTTTGAATTACCACCTGGTCAATTTTATGGTAACTTTAAAGTAATTGTGTTAATTAAACAGGACATACATACCTATTTTTTATCCTTTGTTATTTTTTTTTATAGAGTAACATTATAACAACATTATAACTACTTGATATTAACTGTGTAATTAGTCAAGCTGTCTGAATGAAGACTGAAGAAGTTGTGGTTTCAAAGTTTAAGGTGCCTTACTGGCCAGACTTTCTTTTTAATGATTCAAACTCTTGTTGGATACTATCTATAAAACAAAATGATAGTTTTTCACATAGTTATGCTATTTCAATCTAAACCAGTATTTACTTTGAGTATGTGGAATGCAAGCTGTTTTTTTTTGTTTGTTTGTTCTTTTGTGAAATCATGTATTACTATGTTCATTGAGTGCACTTTTAACAGTGCTTTATTTCACCTTGAGGCAGCTATGACTCTGTGGAACGAGTAGTTACCCTGCAATTGTAAAGTTATGAGTTTAATTCCAGCTCCCTCTCTGCCAGATGTTGGTTTGCAATTGGGCAAGCGTCTTCACACCAAGTTGCCTATTTGTGTTAGTGCATGTTAGCTAGTTCGACTGAGTGAATGTGTCATTTGCGCTAAAGCGCTTTGGTCAAAGTGATCCTATAAATGTTCAGTCTATTTACCATTTATAGTAGACTGTGTGCACATAACTAACTGAGGCAATACTAACAGAATGTGGCAATTATGAATGGAGAACATGTAAGGAAACACATAAAATAGGTAAATAAGGTTCAAACCAGTTTAGGTTTTAAAGATGGTCATTATTCACACCTGGAGATATTTCCAGAGAGAGGATTTTGTCTTTCTTCTAAGTGAGGGAAATGTTTAGCTGCTTTCATTCAGCCACCTGACCACCTGTGCAGCAACAAGTTGGGGAGGAGCAGCACTACATTGCTCTAAGCTCCATAAAACTGGGAAATATTTCAGTCTCTCTGGCAACTTACCGTAAGGATTGTAAAACCCTAGGAACAGTGTAATGAGAACTTTTGGTGGTTTTGAAACCGCAACTTTTTTCTTTTTACCCTTGTCCTTTATGTCTTTCTCAGAAACCACTCATCATGAATAGTGTATTTCACTTGATACATTCCCCCACAGTGAGTGGAAAAAAAAAAAAAAAAATGCAGCCTACTGGATACTTGCCAGATGACCCTCGCCATAGTTGACTTCTCATCCATGCCACGGTTGCTTGCTAATGCTCCTGACCATGTGTTTCTCATTTGCTCAATGCCATCATTCAGTTATCAGTCCAAGAGAGTCAGTAAGTTAACAGGATGTCTGTAAGATAATGCTGCAGTTCTGCGGAAGTTTAGTCTGATATTTCCCGTCCTTTAACTCATCACAATCTTTTTCCACTAATGACCACATGAGCTTTGAGCGAAACCCACCAATTTATTGAGTCATTTTCCCCAAAATGTCATACCAGCTGGAGCTGAAGCGCTTAATGGTAGAGCACTATTAAGGTGCCATGCCATGCCATGCCTTTCTAGGACTGGGCAGTTGAATAACTGGCATATAGTTAAATATTACCTCATGTTTAATCATCTACAGCAGGGGTCCCCAAACTTTTTCCTGCGAGGGCCACATGATTGTTCCCTTTTCTGGTCGGGGGCCGGTCTTAGGTTTTCGAGAAAGAAACCTTAGAAAAGTTTTGTTGATTGGGGGGGGGGGAGAAACTGTGGACCGGGGGGGATTGGATTACTGCCGACGACATATTCGCGTTTGTAGATAGATTTTTACCCAGAATGCAAATGGAAAAAAACCGTGAGCGAAACGGTGACTGGTGCTGACTAGTATATATTCCATTGAGGGAAACTAAGTTTCATATCTGCTCAAGAGCCCCCCTGGTGGTTGAAGAAAAATCCACATATATATGAAAAAAAAACACTGAATGCTCTCTGGTATTGTTCAGGGGGCAAGACCAAATGAGGAGACGGGCCAGATCCGGTATTGTTCAGGGGGCCAGACCAAATGAGGAGACGGGCCAGATCCGGTATTGTTCAGGGGGGCAGACCAAATGAGGAGGTGGGCCAGATCCGGCCCACGGGCCGTAGCTTGGGGACCCCTGATCTACAGCTCATTCTGGTTGCAAGATTATATGTCTACTTTAGCATGGGGAAATTAGCAAAGTAAATTAGATACTCTTATACAAAATGCTTTTGTTAAGATAAATATCCAAGGACTCAGCAGCAGTGGATGAGATCATAATATTTAGGAAATAATAAAAAATAGTAGGATACCACTTGAAAAGGTTTTGCAGCGGTCAGAGTTTGAAAGACTTTTTTTTTTTACCAAACACTTACGTTTTTTTTTTTTTTTTTTTGTTTGTTTTTTTAGATAAATGTTCAGTCCAATGCATGTCTCTTACTTATATGGCACAATGTATAGGGGAATAAACAGGGTTTCCAATATTATGACACATATTGCTGAGAAACATTGTTACAAAAAGATTAAAAAAACCAAAATTACCAAACATATTTATTACTTTTCTAAAGTTTACTTGCTTTTGTTTACACAATGCTTAATGTATTAAAGTTATACAAACCAACTCAGTGGTGAAATAGATTGTTTTAAAATCAATATTGGTGGTGACTTCTTGTCACTAATGACCTATTTTAATTTTATGTACATAAGTTTCATTTCAAAAGTGTTTTGCTTTAGATTTATTTAATTGAAAATCAAAACTAGAATGTTTTTTTTTCTCTCATTTTACAAGACTGACATAGAGGAGAGTCAAATGAAAATTGTAATAACACAACACTTAAAACAAGAAAATCAATAAAACATTAATTGAGATGAAAAAAAAACCCCAAAATAAAACATGAGTCATGTATATTTGGCACCAATATTTGAAATGTTGTATTCCAGTGACTTTTATTACAGTAGTCAAAATATATAGATATGTCCATTACATCAATTACTGAACATTTTCTGATTTCTAAACCAATCGTTTTGTTGCACCACTAATTTTGACCACTTTTTCTGAATAAGAAGTCTAGAATAGAAAAGAAATAAACATTATACACTGACTTTGTTCTTTCCACAGATGTACTTGAACTACCTGGGGAACTACGTCCCCAACGCATGGAATTATGAACATGGGTGCAGCCACTGTGACGACGATCTTCTGGATTTGTCTCAGTTACATGTAAGTGATTCACATTTAGCACTTTTCCATCTGTTTTGTAATGCTTGTTCTTTCTAAAATTGCTGCCACGGAAACTTTTTTTTTTTTTGTCCTATTTTTTGTGAAGCAAGGAAAAGATGAAACAGTTTCTTGTATTTCCAGTACGAGCCGTCTAGCTCCGGGTAACCGTCTAGACAGACGGAGCAGAGCTCGGTTTGTCTTCTTTCAACAGATAAGTGAGGCTGTCAGTTCGGCCTTCTTTCCTGCAATAATAGCCTTATACGTTTTTGGACATTTTTAAGGCGCACAAACGTGATGTGATCTACTCAGGAGAAAAGGGAAGCATTGCATGGCTGTGGTGCAGGATATGGTTTCTGAGGTTTTGAGAAGTGCTCATTTAAAGGGGAGTCACTGTTGACCAGCCTGCCTTTTAGTGGGCTCTGCAATCTGGCTTTTTTCCACAATAGTGAATTACAGCGGTCATGCTGAAAATTTGTCAGTCTAGGCTGGAGTTGGGCAAGAATGGCAGGCTTTCGTAAATGTCTCAGGCAGTGTGCTTTAATCTGTGAAGAATGTTACTGAATTTGTCACTCTGGGCATTTTGTTGCCCAGAGTTGCCCAAGCTATCATTGATAGCTTGGAATCTATCAATGATTTCTTTTTTTTTTTCTTTTTTTATTGCTTTGTTTTGAAAGTTTTTCTTCACAGTTTAATGGCATCAGAACTTTGCGTTTGAAAAAAAAAATCATTCACCTTTCTCATTTCAACCACAAACATCAATGTTGCTTTAGGGATTTTCTGTGATGGTCCAATGCAAAATTGCATATAATTATAAGTGAATTTATACATGACTTGCATTTGTATTCAGGGCACTTTACTCTGATTTCCTTGCAAAATTTCACTTCTACCAATTACCTTGGAGACTGCAATTGTGTATTCTAGTCTCAGTGTAAATGCAGCTTTCCTGTAAAGGCCTCGTGGGTTTGTTAAAATACAGTAGAAAAATATGTAGAACAATACAGGAAAAGGTCCAGGAGAAAGTTGTGGGAATTTTGAACCCTGGTTTAGATTTAAACAATGGGACTAAATGCATAAAATGAGAAAAATGCATCTTTTCTCAGTGAATTCTGCACATGTTGACTACAAATTTCATGCCACCACAAACCCACCAAGACATGGTCATCTTACTTTAATGACAAGACTTGACACTTGGGCGAATGTTCACTTTCCAGCAGGTATGTGACTCTTAACATGCAAACAGACCTACAATGAAATTGTGTGGACCTAAACACAGTCTTGAGTTAAGAACTCTTGACCAAAATCCAGACCAGAGTGTGTAAAATTTGAAAACAGATGCTCACAGTAGCTTGTGCTCATTGACACTGAGCTAATTTGCAAGGAAAACTGACAAAGATTTCAGTCTCTGGATGTGCAACGGTGCTGGAGACATGTCCTGAAATACTTGCAGCTCTAAAAACCAATTGACACGAGAGGGTTGAATGCAACTTTCAGATTTGAGAAAAAAAAAAGAAAAAGCAAATAATTTCCTATCCTCTTTACAAGTATGCACTGCTTGCCTTGTTTTGTTTGTTTACTTGTTTGTTTGTGTTTTTCTTTACATAAAATACCAATAAAATAGACAGGCGTTTGCAGTTACCCTGTCACAAATGTGAGAATGTCCAATGGCTACAAATGTTTTAAACTTTTAAAAGTACATTGGCACTAACTGAGGCACATAAAAAGCCTCCAGCTGACCTTTCACAATGAATACAGAAATGTTTGCTGAAGTAAAATAGCCTGAGAAGACATATCATTCCGCTGTGACTCTTTGTTTGTTTGGGACAGAGACGACCAGGATATCGGGTCATGTGGGAACACTGTTCCAACTGTGTTTACACTGTGCCTTTCTACCCGGGTGAACTTAGTCCACTGGCAGTCCTGTGTGGCTTTTACGAACTTTAACTTTGAACCTTTGGCCCTGCAAAGACACTGGAAGTCTTAACCCACCAACAAAGAATAGCAATCCAGACAAGCCCAATTTCTGTGTCTGATTCATGTTAAACCTCATTGTAAATGCTCCAGTTTGTCAATGTGACCTTTTCTTCTTTATTGGTCCGCCCTGTCTACAGTCCTGGTGTAACAATTTAAGCTTGTGTTGGCTTGATGTTTGAGGTTCCTTTCCTGTGCCTGAAATACAGTCATTGCGGAACATGCAAATTAGACGGTTCGGCAAAGGAGGCATTTTATCCCTGGCCCAGACCTTTTGCTGTGAACTGGTCAAGATGATCACAAGTCCAGACTGGCCCGTGTGGGCTAAGGAGAGTATCATGGGAAAGTCTTTCCTCATCTCTGTGTCCTCCTTTATTCCCATCTATGTATAGCATGTTCACAGTGTCATTTTGTGAGTCTTTTATGGGCCTTCAATCATCACTTGGGCTTGAGTGTAGGAGAAAAGCATGCAATGCAAAGAATACCACTAAGTAATGCTATTCTGTTGAAGCATTACTTAGTGCTTAGTGATGCTGGCGACATCTGCAGAGACATAATGTTTATATATCTGTACGATTGAAGCAAACTGTAAATATTCTTGATTTATTTAAAACAGTGTTGCATCACTCTGATTAGCTGTTTAAAACAGAAATGATTTATCTTTCCTTCTATCCAAACAGGAGTATCCAGACGTGCTGGTCGGAGTGTTCATTGAACAGCCAACTCCATTCCTCCCTGAATTCTTCCAGAGACTGCTCACTCTAGACTATCCAAAAGATAAACTGAAACTCTTTGTTCATAACAACGTGAGTGCGTGCAGCTGCTTTTTGGGTTTTCTTTTTTCTAGATTACTGCAGTTCAAATCCCTCCCAATAATCTGTTAATATTGGCTCCCTGCCCAGGAGGTTTATCACGAGAAGCACATTCAGAGGTTCTGGGAGGAGAATAGGGATGTGTTCAAGAGCTTCAAAGTTGTGGGACCAGAGGAAAATTTGAGCCAAGGAGAAGCCAGGAACATGGGAATGTATGTCCGCTTGTTCTAAGTCAAATATCTTTCAGAATCTTGTGCTTGAAAAACAAAACAAGATTGAGATTACCAGTTTATAATGGGCTAGCACTGAAAAAGCTTTTTGTATTTTATGCTACTGATGCACCAAATCTCACCTGCCAGCACAAGCTTTTCTTCAAGAACTGTAATTAAAAAGACAGCATTTTTGTACACAAAAAAGTCAGTTATGAAATTATCCAAACTGAAAAATTAGAGAAGAAGGAAAAAGGATTCTCAACCATTCACAGGTTTAGTTTTTTACTACAGTTGCCTGAATGTACAGCTTATATGAATCCATGGAAATTGCATTTCCCGTTTAAATAACAACTGCCGCACTGTGAGCACAACCTGGTAATGCTAACATACAGTGTTAGCATTATGACTAGGAAAATATATTATTGAGTTTCCAATCCTCCTGTAGTTTGTTCACAAGTTGATCTATTGGTGCATCTCTAGTTAAAACATCTTCAATACGTTTAAATTAGAGATGTTAAATGTATGTTCCTTAACAGTATTGCATGTCCAGTCTGAAAGACAAAATCAATAGAATTCCACTATAAACAATTCATGCTCTCTGCATTTACCTGGATAGATGACACTAAGTATGAAATATACAACCAACATTTTATAATTCATCATCTACATAAAGTTTAAAGATACTCAGACTCTGTGCTTAAAATTCTCTTATGCTTTTAAACAAGACATTTTTGACAATGTTCCGTGTTTATTTTATCAGGGATCTTTGCCGCAACGACGCTTCATGTGGCTACTACTTCAGCCTAGATTCCGATGTCATGCTCACCAACCGGCAAACGCTGAAGCTCCTCATTGAACAAAACAGGTACTCACGCAACAGCTGGAACAGGCGTCATACCAGAAGTTACAGAAGCTCAGAAGTTACAGCTGAAGTTAGCTGTAACTTCAGCATGCTGAAGTGTGGGATTCATTCCTGAAGTGGCAAACCCACAAGAACATTACAGCCAAGTTAATTAAAGTTTTAAAAAGGTTGCTTTGGGTTCTAGTCCTTTTGCTCCTCCTCATAGAAACAGATGGAGTCGAGTGCACTAGTCCTAAAATGCTACTTGGAAATACCAAAAAAACAAAAAGACACACGTACAAAAAAGGAAAAAAAAAACCAACAAAAAACATGCAAACCCTTTTTCCCCCATCTGCAGCGTATGATTGTGAAGAAACCTTCCCATAAACTGGATGTCACTGTGGCTTTTGTTACCGACTGGAAGCATGCAAGACGAGAGACTTTCTAGGATATTTAAAGGCACCATGGGAATTTTCTGCTGGCACTGAGGGGGGGAGGGATAGAGAATGTGCTTTGCACAAGTCTGTCGTAGAACATACGACTATCTTCTAATTTAAGTTAAATTAAACCAATTTTGGTATGTCTTGTTTTTATTAAGTTGTAACAAAACAATATTTCACAATACATTTAGAATATTTTTATTAACAATAAGATTTATCGAAGCACTTCCCCTCCAAAATGTGACACAGTGAAACATTTTTAGAGCTACCAGAGGCAAGGCATGGGAATCATTTTAATTCAATCAAGCATAGTAAGTGGGCCTGGTTTGCATTAAATGTTTATGAGATTTGTTACTGAATTGGCAGTTATTTCAAGCAAAAGTCAATTGCTCAGCTCCGGCAGGTTTTTAAAGGGAATCTGTGCATTAGATGTCGGTCTAGTTTTATCCGTTTTTTCCACTTTGCCTTCACAGAAAAGTCATTGGACCACTTGTCACTCGTCACGGCAAGCTCTGGTCAAATTTCTGGGGAGCCTTGAGTTTGGACGGCTATTATGCACGATCTGAGGATTATGTTGACATTGTACAAAGGAAACGAGTGTGAGTCAAGCGTATACCACTTAACAACGTTTCATTTTTTTTCAACTTTTCAAACACAGCATGCAAGTTTTAATCTCTTGAGTGTTGATGTAACTCCTGTCAAATGCATCTCAGTGTTTTGACAACATTCTTAGCCACTATTAGCGATACATAGCAACATAAGTCCAGTAGCTCATTGGAATCAGTGCAAATACTTGAAAGTTCATCTTTAAAGTGCACATTTGTTACATATTCTACATAGTGCTGTGATTGTGTTACACTTAACTCGCCTTCCATTGCTACTCAGGACAACGTAATATGTTCTGTGTGTTTTTCATGACAACAAAGTGCTTTGCTGTTCTGCTAGACAACTGTCACAGTATCGTTCTCACTGTAACTCTCTTTGTAAAGACGTAAGAACAGATTGATTAGGCTCTGTTTATCAACATAATGTGTGTAGCCTAAGATAAGCTTGCTGGCATTTTAAAAAAAATGGCTGTTTAAAAAAAAAAAAGACTACTGCACAACATACTAGTGCCAAACAACAACCATATTAGCAACACTAATTGTACAGTAATTGTATTATGTGCAGATGATATAAACAATTGACAGTTGGATGACAAAGAGTTTTGGCAGGAATTAATATACGGTAATCTAAAAATGCCATTCCTTGGATCCTAAACCAAACAATCAAAAGCAAAAAAAAAAAAAAAAAACTTTTTAATATCACATTTTTTTAATATCACATAACATATATCAACTTTGTTAACCACATAGTTACTCCAAGTCAGTAGTTAAGTCCTAAATCATGCATGAAGTTAATCAAATCACCAAACTCTCATTGTTCCCTTAAGATATTGTGGAAGTAAAGTGAAAGATTTTATGTTTCTTTTTGCTTTAAGGGGTGTGTGGAACATTCCTTTCATGGCGCACATATACCTCATCAAGGGAACTGTATTGAGGAATGAACTTAAAGAAAGGAATCATTTTGTTCTGGAGAAACTGGACCCAGATATGGCTTTGTGTAGAAACTCCAGAGAAATGGTAAGAAGGTGGGGGGGAAAATGTTGTGTTGGATTTTTAATATTACAATGAATATGTTTTGTTATTAATAAGCTTCTGCCACACTGTTTCTGTTCTTGGCACATATTTTGGCACATCTGAAAATATTTTCAAAGATATATGCATATGCTACAGTATCAGTTTTTTAGAATGGCAAATGTTGGAGTGTTTAATGGCATGTTGGAAATACAAGGCAGCTAGGCAATAGTGTGACAGAAGTGTTAAGGTATTAAAAAAGGATTTTGTTTATATACCAAGAAGGCTTAATAATGCCAGTAGAAAATGCAACACATCTAACTTGTAACAGAAGTCAGTGATGTCAGGGAAGTATGTAGGTGTTTTGAAATGTATTTGTCACCAAGGCATGACCCAACTATGTTCCTGGTTTGTCTACAGAGCATTAAGGTACTCTGCTCTACTTGCATCCCATCGTCCTTTGTTTTTTTTGCTACCATTATTGCCATGATCTCAGTCAGTTGTAATGCTTGGCTTGGCAGCTGACAACATGTATCTTGCTTTTTTTCTTTTCTGAACACCTATACACTGTTCAGTTGGCTCCACTCTGTGCCACCTACTTGTCACCTCTCATTGCAGCTGAACCACTGCCCTGCTCTGTATGCATTCCTCCCATACTAACCCCAAAAAAACATCAGCTTCAGAGGGAGTCTTGCACTTTTGATCATGCGGGCGCGTTTTCACTCCTACTAAGTTCTACTGTGTGTGACATGGACATATTTTATTGTCACTTTGTCTCTTACTCTTGAGTAAAATTTATGCAGCCTTATTTACATGATGCTTCTCCTTTATTGTAGACCAGTCACAGGGAAAAAGACTCCCCTTCTCCGGAATCATTCCATATGCTCAGGTCCCCAAAGGTCAATATTTGCTTTGATTGTTCTGCTGTCTGATATTTTCATTTTCAATGGTATTGCACTCAGAAACGAATTGATTGTGATTCTTGTAATAGGCAGCGCTAAGTTAAAATGTCAGGTTCCAATAACATTTAACATTGAGATCGAGAATTTTATAAAATATGATGACCCCTTGTACTTTTTCCACATCTTGTCATTCTACGTTGACAAACTTCAGTGTATTTAATTGGAATTTCATATGGTTAACCCACACACAAGTTTAACAAATTAATGACATGTAAGGAGAAGAATTGCCTACATCATTTTTATTTCATGTTTTTATCAGAAAAGTGTGGCATGTATATGAATTCACCTCTTGGTACTTTGATAGCCCTAAATAAAAACCAGTGCAATCACTTCATAATTAATTTCTGTCAACCTGAAAAATGGAAGTCTCTGTGGTGTGGGCAGCAACATCCTGTGAGGATGTTTTTTTGTTTGTTTGTTTTTAAACACAAACGGGGAAGCTGGTGAGACTTGCAGGGAAGATGGAAGGAGGTAAATACAGTGTAATTAGGAAAATCTGTCTAGAGCTATAAGAGGCAAAGGTTCATCTTCCAGCATGATGGCATCAATACAAATAAATTCATTCAATTTCTCTGCTATGCATAAAGAAAAAGATAGGATATGATTTACGTTTGTGTATGAAACATGAGAAAATTTACAAAAAAATAAGAAAAAGTTCAAGGGTTTGAATGCTTTTGCAATGTCTGTCACAGTGTAAGAAACAACAACAACAAAAAATAATTCTTACAGTTTTGGGGAAAATAATGTGAACCTTTTGTTTGTGAAAAGTTTAAATTTATAAGCAGATTAGATTTAGATAGATTTTAAAGGGCTTAAGAGTCATTTTGCAAGTCCTCTACCCTGATGCTTTACCCTTACAAGCCAATCACGCGTTAGCAGCACCTCCCCCACTGAACACACCGACTGATCTCAGACTAGGCTCCAACACAACACACCCTTTTACCTCGCTTCTTATGCATTTGGCCTGAATCACATCTTTGCAAACACGAACTGAGACATTTGCAATTTGGAAACTCAGCACCACACGGCTGCAAAACAGACCCATAATCTGTGATTTCTGACATTAACAAAGCCTAGTCTGATAGTGAGTCCAGATCCACTCCCACACAGCACCCTCCCTATGCATCACTGAAATTAGAGCGTCCTCTCTAGATCTGCTTCATCCCAAGATGCCCTTCTGGTCTTGCCTCCCCTCCCCTCAAACCCCTTAATGACTCTGTCTTGTCTTTACAAGAGCAACTCAGAGAAGACTGACCAATAAATAATCTCAGATTATTTATATGCCACCTGTCTACTTGAACCTAGAGTTAAGCATGATTTCAGTGTGTTTTTAGACACACTTGAATCAGTTTTTATTCTCTTTTGTATGCCAAAACCACTAAGGGATTTACCGAGCTTTAAATCTGCATGTTTTATGGTTATGTAGACGCACATCTGTTGTAAATAGTGAGACATCAAGAGACTTTTCACCTTTAGCATTTGTATGGAATTTAAGAGCATTTATTTCCCTGTTTGCTGTAGGGAGTATTCATGTACATAACCAACCGTCATGAGTTTGGGAGGCTCATTTCCACAGCTAATTACAACGTATCTCGTTACAACAACGACTTGTGGCAGATATTTGAAAACCCTGCGGTAAGTCATTATGGTCTTTCATTATTTTTACACGCATGTGAAATCTATTTTTTGCCACCTGTAAAACTTATTAGAGGTAATGGAAGAATTAGAAATATGAGACAATAGAAAGCTGTCGTGCACAAAAAAAAAAAAAAAAGGTTCCTGGCTGGTAGGGAGAGCGATTAGCCCTGTGAGGTATGCAAGTCGGCAAACAGCGTGAAAAAATGTCTGCTTATCTAAAAATCTCTCTGCATGCAGGACTGGAAGGAGAAGTACATCCACCCAAACTACACACAAATTTTCACTGAGAACCAGTTGGAGGAGGTTTGTGTTTATGTGTGGCTTTCACATGTACAGACTGAGAGTGCGAGAAAGACAGTGACATAATGTCGCCTGGAAATCCCAACATCTGGTTTTAGCATGTCTGGGTATTGCATTACAGCAGCTACAACCCCAGGTGAAGATGTGAGTCAAGTCCTTCCTCTGTAGTCACTCCATGTATGTGTTCATGTGTGTGTTGCAGCCTTGTCCAGATGTGTTCTGGTTCCCGGTGCTCTCAGAGAAGGCGTGTGATGAAATAGTTGAGGAGATGGAGCATTATGGTTTATGGTCTGGAGGCAAACATGAGGTCAGTACTGTTGGTTGAGACTTCCTGAGCATAAAAGTGAAAGGTATTGCAATACTAGCGCATGCCTGTGGCCACTGTTTTCTGGGATTTCTTTTTGCTTTTTATAAGCATTTTGTGTGTTTAAAAATAATATTCTGCTTCTAAGCATTTTTTTTTTATTCTTATGTATAACTTTTGATTTAATGGCTACATCTACAGTCATGGTAAGAGAAAAGTACACCCTGTTCTAAGGTTTCACTGTATAAATGATATGGCATAATTTGGTTTCTATAATTATTTCAGTCACCGCTCACCACAAATTCCTCACTGCCAATAGTTATTGAACAATGATGGGGTCAAATGGAATTTTTTCAAAAAAACGTAACACACTACACAAACCCAAGGTGTTTACAAAATGTGTCAATTCCTACAATCTTATTTTTGCAATGATTATATACAATGTAAGAAGTCATATTGGAGAAGTAGAAGCTGAACACAGCTAGTTCCTTGTTTTTAAATGTATTTAGTTTCATAAATAAATGGAAAATCCAAAAGCATGGATAGCTAGTTTGAGGTAGCTAGTTTGTGGCTAAGATATTTCTATGCTCTCAAATGCAGCACAGTCTGTGCTGAATGACAGCATGGGCTTTAATAAGACTCAACCAGCCTAAAAAAGGTTGCAACTTCAATCACTGGGTGTGACATAAAATCTTCTGAAAATAGCTTACAATTAAACTTGATAAAGTTCAAATCCTATCTCTTTCCCAGGGCTACCAGATTGTGTTATTGCATCCCTGGTTTGGGAGCTCTTACAATGCTGCCTTCCTACTTTATAACAGAAAAGCTCATAGACACAGAACTAACATACAATAGTTCCCATGTCTAAAATGAGAAGCTGCACTAAAGAAAGAACTAATGATCAACATTTATTTTCACGGTGTTTGGGCTGTTTTATGTTGCTTTAAATTGGTAATACGGTGTGTCTGTGAGTTTTCCGGGACAGACTGAATTCATGCAGACACTTTGAATAGCTCTGTTCGGGAAGTGACTCTCCTGGACGGGTCATTAAGCTTCATGCTAACAGACAACAGCCCTGCCTGTGGTTTTATTGGCACACAGACATACCAGCATAATCATCACGGTGAAAGCTGTGGTCACACACTTTGAGAACGGCAGGTCATTTGTTCCATTGTTAATCGCACTACTTTCTTTTCTCGTCCTTTTTTCAGGACAAGAGGATCGCTGGAGGCTACGAGACAGTTCCGACGGATGACATTCACATGAAACAAATTGGCTTTGATAAGGAGTGGCTGCACTTTCTCCGGGAGTTCATATCGCCCGTCACATTGAAGGTTTTCTCCGGTTATTACACAAAGGTTAGTTTGACATGACTCAAACCCCTCTTCTTTCTCCTAAAAGCTAAGACTTGTCTCATGAACCCCCCCGGGAGATGGGAGGAGTAATAATATCATGAATATTATGTCCAATTGGCTTTTTTTTTTTTCAGATTCTCATGTAATACCCTCCAAACGCTATGCAAGTTGTGTTGCTTTGATTCCTTCATTCATGCTTGAGGAAACCTTGAATCTCTCATAAAGCACCAACTATTTTCACAAAGCTCCTCCCTGGAGCTGCAGTCTCCAGCTGACCTTCTGCTTCACAGAGCACCCCTCCGCAACACTTTCCACACACAGCTCCACCCTTCTGGCTGCGTTGTTTTGCTGCCAGAAACACGTTTCTTTTAAATATAGGACACAATTCAGGAATTGTTTTGCTTTATAAAAACATTGACCCTGATGATGTTTACAGGCCCCTATTTGTGTGTCACTCAGATTTTCCAAATGCATTAATTTCTGACTAGCAAGTAACACAGTGTATTTCTGTTCTATCACGGCAGGGATACGCATTGATGAACTTTGTAGTTAAATACACACCCAACAGACAGGCCTTCTTGAGGCCCCATCACGACTCCTCCACCTTCACCATCAACATCGCTCTCAACAACAAGAATACTGATTTTCAGGTAAATGCATTTTGAAAATAAGTCACAGACTGCCATTTTGGTTCCTTCAGACTAGAGCAGTTTATTCTAATATTGCTATTAGGTTGGCCATTTTTCTTTCTTCGGCCAGAAACACAATGGATGCAGAAGTGATAGACAAAATCTTGGAACTTTTGGTTATTTTAACCTAAACGCTTTTGCCCCTTCATAAAATTTAAGCAAAATTGTGTCTTGAATAATATAATTCATATTCTTTTGAATATGAATGTGAATTCTTTGCATTCTCTTATAAAATTCTTTTGCCTCTCAGTATTTCCTGTCATCAAAGTACAATGTTTTTGTAAGTGTTGTAAATTTTACCAGTCAGACGAACAGAATTTATTTTGCGAGACAGAAGTAAAACTCTTTTTTGAAAAAGCATGTATTGACTCCATGAAAACATCCCTATGTTGGAGACGATGGGGCGACGCTAGCTTGGAATACGACATTAAAATAAAAATACTTGTGGTCTAGCAAGGATATATTAAAGGGACTTGGTGAAAGTTCTTGTATGATGCACTTTGGGCATCTTAAAAACACAATGTTTTTCGTCTGCTCTGTTTACACCCAAATTAGGGTGGAGGCTGCCGTTTCCATCGGTACAACTGCTCCATAGAATCACCAAGAAAAGGCTGGAGCTTCATGCACCCAGGACGCCTGACTCATCTCCACGAAGGTCTACCCACAACCAATGGCACTCGCTACATCGCTGTGTCCTTTGTTGATCCTTGAACTGTCCTTCAATGCCCTGCTATAAATTATTTTTTTTTCTTTATTTTTTCTTTAGCATTTTTTTTTTTTTTTTTGGTTCGTTTTTGTGTTTGGTCATCACACGATGCAATTCTCTTTTTTTTTAAAGCAAATGCTTTGAAAGAATGATTTTTTCAAAGAATCTCTGTCAAACAGAGTGAAAATGGTAAAGAAAAGTGACTGAAATAAATGGCATAGAGTAGATTGGAAGTAAAGCTAAATCAGACAACATTTATGTGTACTGTAGGTTGCCATAATGTTTATAATACTGATTTTACCATCATGGTAGCCGTCATACACACTGGTATCTTCACAAACAAGCAGCTGAAGCATGTGTACATTTAACTGGAGTAATTGTGTTTCATGTATAAAATGTTCTTCACAGTTTGAAGCTTACTACTACTATTGGTGCTACTTGACTTCTTTATTTGCTGGATAGCATGTTAATTTGATTTTCTATGCTGAAGCAGCTTATTCAAGACTTTTATTGAAGAAACTTTGAAAACGGCTATTTTCTCAGTATTTTCACTAACAAGCAAGTCAGCAGATTTCAATTCACCTGTTAGAATTTTCACATTTTACTGCCCTCTGCTTTTTCTTGCTTTATTGAAAATGCCAAACATTTGCTTTTCTGTAAATAAAAATGCCTTTTTTTTTTTTTTGCCAGAGAGATGTGAGTGACTGGGTTTTGAAACTCAGAAAGCGAACATGTTTAAGTTATTGTCAAGATTTGAATAAAATCTGTTTAAGAATGGTTGCCCCTGTATTATTTTGATGATTATGCTCCCGTTCCGGTTTCTCATACCAGGTCAGCCCTTTCTGTAAATCCCGCAGACGTCTGCAGAACAACGTTTGGATTACATCACTTGCTCGGTGTTGCCATGAGAGGCCCATTTCACTTAGGCATCTCATGACTTCGTTAACATCGATTTGACATACATCTACCTGACTTTGAATCTATATAATTCAGTTGAATTTATTTATTTTTACTACATGTGAAGTGTTTGTTGTAAATTCATGAACAGAATAGAACTGAATTTAATTGACACTTCTATCTCATTTGAGACATTTTTTTTATTTTTTTTATCTGGTCTCAGAAGTTGCTACAATGTTCTTTCTGGGGACCTTAGGCAGCTTTTTTTTGATCTTACCATGATATTCACTCTCACTTCAACAATAAGGAGCACACTAAACTAAAAAAAGGTCAAAGGTCCTTCTCCAAAGACCTACCAGCTGATCAACTAGCCCACTCATCACGTTTACAGACAGACCTACATGGTGTTATCCCTGTTTCAGGTTGTTTTCACGTTTGGACATGTCACATGTAGAATCAGTCAGGCCTGTTTGCTCCGAAGGGAGCCTCACGTGTGTGTTTTGGGGTGTGGTGTGATGATATACATAGGTAGTTCAGTGTATCTTGGAGGGAGTGTGCAAACATGTACATGCAACCTAAAGAAAACTTTGCAGATCAGAGATGTAAAGACTGAGAAGGTGCAGATGGGGAATCTATAGCGGGTGGAACAGGGTAAGGTGTCATGCTTTAAAATAGTGATGTTCAGTCAGTTTGAATCAAATCAAACCAGTGCTTCACTGATATGAAACATCTAAGGTCTCACATCTCTTATCAGTTCTCATTATATTTTAACATCCACAGCCTCTAGAGAGTTGTCCCCACCTCTAGGGGCCATGTTTTCACCCTACGCTGCTGGCTGCCTGACCAAAGGCACGTTTCTGCTCCTTGTAAAGCTGAGATGAAGGCTGAATGTCTGAGTAGCTGCTATGAGCCAGCTATGATGATGGGGGGGGGGGGGGGGAGGCGGGGGAGATTTGGGTCAGACTAGGGAGGGAGACTTATTGCTGCTGAAAGAGCCTTTTGTGTCCATCATTTCCCCCTGAACTGGCTCGACTTCATACCCTCTGAAAGGTGACATTGATTGTAAGCAGGAATGCAGCAAAACCTGCACTCTGCCCGAGATAGAAAAAGGCCACATAAATGGTTTTATCAAACAGAGGAAGGGATAAAGAAAGCTCGATTTATTTTAGTCCAACGCAAGGAAATGTAAAGAAGATGTTGTATTTGAATCTCAAAAGGCAGGTTGTTTTAGGCATGCTTTAACTTGTTGACATTTCATGCTTGAAGTAAAGTAACAGAATAACATACATTGACGTAAATAGAAATATGTCAATAACTATGCTGTTTCCTGGGGGGAGTGCAGTGATTTAGGCATTAACACAGCCTACACTCTGCCCTGAATGGATTTTTAAGAAGTGTGTTCATAATCACAACTGAAATGCTTTAACCCAGCCAGTGTGTGATCACAGTTGACCCACGTCTCAAAACTGGGGAATGTGACAACAGCAGCTACCTATCTATCATTTCTGTCTCCTGGCCATGTGACAAACAAATACCTATAACATTTAGTAAAAATCTGATATGATTGTCAATATTTTTTACCTATTTTTAACAAATTCTTAATGATCACTTGGGGTGCTTCAGTTACACTTTTTTGGTATGACCTATAAAAGCAAAAACACGAAACTATGTGTTGCATCAGCTCTGATTCTGAAAGAAATTGCCTGTGGCACACACTACCCTAATAATCCCACTGCGCATTCATCTGCAAACATATTTTGTTGAAATGTTACATTGAAGAAATACATGAAGTTACATCTCATGATGCTTGGTTTTAAGTTATTTACATTTTTTTAAGTAGTAATCTGAATTCAGATTTAAGTCCATAGCTGCAAGTAAAATACTACCACGGTTTCTGAATAAGATTTAAGTCTGTGTGTTTGAAGGTGTATTCTAACACGTTGACACACCCTTTTGTCTAAATTATTCCATTGTAGCTCAGCTGTAGTTTAGATGTCCCTGCTGGATCATACAACCTCTGCCCCAGTTTTAATTTTGTTGCAACTTTTAACAGATCTAATAGGTTTTCTTCCAGCAATGCCCAGTGTTTAGCTCCATTCATGTTTTTTAATCCGTTGCCATGCTGTGGGGAAAATTATCCCACCATGGTGCATTGTGCTTTCAAGACACTATTCGATTAATAAAGGCCACACTTCAGACTTAATTATAATCCAAATATTTTCTTTCCACTCCCCAACCGCACACCATTTTGTGTTTCTCTATCAAAGAAAATCACAATAAAATGTGGCTGTAATGGGTTGTTTATAGCTATCGCACTGGGAGCACTGGGAGTAGGAACTCGATTTTTTTTTCTTTTCTTTTTTTTTTTAACATTTCATATTTCTCGTACCAAACTGTCACAAAATAGTGAGAGTTTGAATAAATATGTTTTTAAAAAAATTGGAATTTTTTTTTATATAAAAGTTACATACTGCAGCTTTAACCACAAGACAAAATTGTGAAGAAAACTGAACGTTGCACTAAAACAAATACTTCAGTCAAAATAATTGGAATTCACTAATGACATAGGAAATTTGTTAGTAAACTAAACAAACTATTTGCTAACTTTACATAGGTGGTTTCCAAACTTCTACTTCTGCTTGGCTTCATGCTGAAAAATTCTGAAAATATTTAAACTTCCAGAAACCTATCTTTAATATCTAGCCCCAATCTGCTTTTCTGTGAGGAATTATGAGGAATGCAGCCACAGCTTTTAAAACCAGTCACATCACTTGAAGGGGCCCAACTATTTCTGCACTTGCACATTGTATATACAGTATACAGGATACCACATGGCTAGCTCTCTGTAAATTTCTCTAATTATGTTTGAGGAAGAGGGCGGAGGTTGGGGATATCTGGGTTCAGGCACAGTGCAATTTAGAGTTAGTGGAAAAATACTCCAAAGAGACAAAAAGTGAGGAGAGATTCGGTGCAGCTGTGTATTTTTTGGCCTCGTGCATCTCTGTAAGAGTTTTGAAATCATTAATCTTCATTTCACACAAATGTTAAAAAGTGGAACAAGAAAACACCCATCAAAAAACTGTAAAGTAAAAAACATATATATATTTTGTTATACACTTAACTCATGCTTTGTACTGTCGAATCACTGGCGGTGGGAGGCCTCTTTAACATACGCTCTTTTCATCCCCATTTTATTATTATCTTGCTATGTTGTTTTATGTCTTTTAAAATTGTTTTGTGTTGATAAAGCTCCATCTGGGGACATGCATTGCAAATTAGATAAGGCCATAAATGTTATAGTGTTCTGTTTTTGTTCATAGTGAACATGTCTCCCCATGCAAATGGACAAAAAAGAAAGAAATAATGTATGACGTGTTCTGCTGGACCAACACCTGTTCATTAAGTGTTTGTGTGTCAGCTTTAAATGAAACACATATTTTGGACAAAGTTTGCATCCTTTGTTGTGAGCCGAAGCTTAATGTAAGTGTTGTTTTATTGCAGTTTTATTATTGTTGCCTTGGGCGGTTATTTGCTCAACTTTCCCCATCCTGTTCTGTTTAGAATGAACACATCTATTGTATTGACAACAATTACAGAAATATTATGAGTAATATATTTTTTCTTCCCCATTTTATGTGCCACAACCATTTATGTTTTTTTTATAGGGATTTTATGCAACAGACCAACACAAAGCAGTGTATAATTGTAAAATTGTAGAAATTAGGCTATAAAGGCACTTCTAAAGATGCACAGTGCCTAATAAGCCCCCTTTACTTTATAAAAAGAAAACTTATGCTGGAATAAAACCTCTTTCAATCTGAAAGCAGTGTCCAAGATCTTCCAAAACATGGCTGCCCACCTATCCCCAAAGGCCTGGCAAAGAGAGCATTTAGTACAGTATCACTCTGGAGGGTTATGGTAACTCAGTATCAGCTGCAAACATCCAAGGCTCAGGGGGGAAAATCTGATAAACATTAATCATGCTTCACAAATAGTCCCTGAATAGAAAAAAAAAATGTCAAGAGGAAAGCAACCGCTGCAAGAAAACTATAAGAAGCAAACATGTTTATTAAACTTTGTATTTGCTCACATGACAAAATCCTTCGTTCGATGCATACTTATTGTCTCGCTGCA